TACTTTATAATGGAGTCTTTTTTTCACTTTCTCTACAACAGTTTCATTTTAGTAATATGAGGGTTTTTTAAGCTCAAGGGAATATATTAGAAAGTAGGGCCTAAGTGAGCCAACATAACTTTTCTTCTAAGTTATTTCCAAAAGTTTTCTTTTTTAATAATGACCAAAAGCTGTCATTCCTGAAGAAGTTTTAGTGTGGGGGTTTTGGTTTGTTTTGGTGGCTTTTGTTTTGTTGGTTTTTGTTTTTTTTTGTTTGCTTGGGGTTATTTTGCAAAACACTAATCTAGAATGCTAAACCTTTTCAAAGTCTCTCGATAGGCTTTAAGCCAAATCAAATATCATCTCTCTGTCTCATGTCTTCAATTTTGACTGGACTGGATACCATCTCTTCACCCTCCCAGGTCTGAAGATGGCACGGATGATAGAGTGAGCACTTTTTGATATGCTGATCTGGCAGAAAGTAGGCCATGTATTCATCTGCAATCACCAAATTGTAAACTGGGAAATTTTTTGATTTGTAGTCAAAATTGTAATGTCCTGTTGATACTACAGATCTGAATCCCTACACTCTGAGGACCATTCTTTGTGCAAAGAATATCGATAAATAAAACTCACCTTTCTACTTGAAAATAGATTCAAATCTAGCTTAAGTGTGGACTACAAGCTAAGTTGTTTCCTGGATTTTTATGTTATACTTTAGCATGGCATTCCAGACCTGCTTAAACTGCAAAGATGCCTTTCCTGAAGCTCTGTGAATGATTTTATCTTGTCTTAGCTGTGATGGGTCAGTAGGGCCAAAAGAAACAAAACTGAGAAATTCTGTGCATGATTTAAGGAAAGGATCCTTGAAGACCCACCAGGAGCTGATGGAAATCTGATGTGTAAGAGGCAGCTGAATTTTCTGTTGTTTCTCAGAGGTGATTTAAAGAGAGAATCCCCCAGAGTACCATGGTGGTTTAGAAATGGTTCCGTTTGACAGCATGGGTGCATGCTGTGACTGAATTGTCTCAGTTTTCATTACCATGCCAGGCACAGATACAGCACAGATGCAGTGGCCTTTCTCAAGGATGAGAACTATTTTTAGTAAGGGAAATGAGAATATCCAAACAGACAGATGTTTATTTTAGTGTTTCGTGCATCATAACTGCAGAAAAAGCTTAGTGAAGAATCTTCTTGTTTCTCTAAGATCCACATCTTAGTTCAGCTATATTTAAGGCAACACGAAGAGGGCTGTTATTTTAGTCCCTTGGGATTCATCTGCAAAAAACACAGCAGCTTGTGCTGGCTTTCATCCAGCTTTGCTGCTGGCAGAACATGTCTCTTCAATCTCTTTGTACTCTCAGTTACATGACCAAAATCCTGTTTGGCCAGTTTTTCAAACTGGTGTTCAAAGTCTGTCCTTCCCTCTCACCACCTTTTCTCTAAGAACTGTTTTAGGTTTTGTGGAGGCAAATATATAGAGCAGCTTATTTGATTCTTCTTCTTCTCTCTGTTCTGTTTTTAATCTTGGTGTGGAATTATTGAACATGAGAGACTGCTCTGGTGGAATAAGCAATAAAGGTGGAGGGTGATGCTAATAGACTGGTTCTTGCCAAAGTCAAAATGAGGGCTGGTTGCAAGATGCAACCACGTAATTAACAGTGTGTAACTGCTGTGAAAGGAGCAGATGAGCAGGGCAGACAGGGTGTGTGAGCTTGGTGGGGGCAGTGTTAAGGTGGGGCAGCTTTGCCTGCTGAAGTGGGGGTGTGCTTGGAGGGCAGCATGAAGGTGAATGACAGCAGTAAATAGCTGAGATGGTTTTTATTGGTGGAGTGAAGGAGATGGGGATTGAATTTTGAAATAACAGAGTTGTGGATGGGTTGTTCGACATGTGAGACAGGAAAACGTAATGTAAATCTGGTGCTGGTCTTAACTTGTCCTTAGCTTGCTACATTAGGGTGGATGCCAGTTCAAGGCTGTCTTTTGAAATGCTGCCTGAAATCTGTGGTGCAAGAAAGGAGGCTGAAGATGGCTTTTCCTGGGCAATGCTGAATTGCTTAACTGATGTGGCTTGTTGTTCTGAACAATGTGACTTTACAAACACATCTGCTCTAGCTGCTTTAACACGTTTGACACGTGTTACGTGTATCTATTGCCTGAAAGTCTTGAGGGTCCAATGCAATCTACAGCAGCAAGAGCTGGTCCACAGCTATGCCTTTCATGCACAACCTTTGCAGAATTAGGAGACATCTCCTGTGGATGAAAAAAGCTACTTCAGGCTAATCTCAAATATCTGCCATTCCTCTGGGGCTATTTTGCCCCATGCTCTGATCCTAGGTGAATCTTCCCATTCACTCTGCTACCCCCTCCTCTCCTCAGTTAACTCATGCCATAGTTAAGCTGGTTTGGATAACGAAGCTTATGTCTCCGGACTCTTCTTTCCAGCATCTTTTCGCCCTCTTCCAGAGCAGTTCACCCCAAAGTCTGAAAAAGGCTGTTTTTAAAATAGAGGTTTCTAAATAAGTTCCCAGCAAGGCCTGACAACCTTGTGGCAGTTTATCTAAGGCACTTTAGGCTGCTGACATCTGGTAAGAAAAGTAGAGAATTGTTTTGACATGTTAATTGTTCCATTGGAAAGGAGTTTGCAGTGTTGAATGTTCTCACTGACATTTAATTAATACGCAGTGCAAATACTTACGCTTGGTAAAAATAAAAACAAATGCTGATCCTTGGGAATACTTTAAACCTTAGTACACTTGGAATTCTGGTCTTATCAGTGTCCTTATGCAATATTTTACTACTCTGGCATCTTCTCAGTCCTGGCTTCTGAAAATATCTGTGTTGTCTTTTCAGCTGTAGGTTGTGTGGGAAACAGCACCTGGAGAAAAAGGGAATATTTCAGTGCAGTAGTCTTGATTTTTACTAATTTTACTTACATCATTTGACCTGAGCATTTCCTCCCTTGTACAAACATTTTTCTCCTTTTGTTTTCTAACTTGAAGTCTTTTTGATCTACAGTTCTTATGTCTTATCTGTACAGCAGGAGGCTGCTTACATTTGCTGCTTTCTTCAAGCTGTGTGGGTTGGATTTCTTCTTGTATCTGATCAAAATAGAGCTCTCTAAATGCGCTCTCTGTATTGGCTCTTGAGCATCTTCAGTAACACAGGGTACAAAGTTGAAGGTTTGGGGAGTGTTTTATTGCTGTTCATCAGTAAGACTGCTTCCTTTCGGCAAGAATCCCTGTGCACTGTCTGGAGGCTGATTCCTATCACCATTTCCAATCCCTTTTTACAAATATTTGCTCTTTACTGTGCCCATTAGTTAAAAAAGAAACTAATAAGTTGGTGCATTTAGTAAGAAAGCAATTCTCCTCATGTGTGTTATTGTGGTAAGAGTATTTGTTGTTGGTCTGTGACTGTGGCCATCCACAGCTACTTTTCTGAAGTGGTTCCTCTGTACTCCACTGGAACTTTCCTCTTTTTCTGATGTTTACACATCAAATGAGGTATTTTGAGCACTCTCAGATCTCATTTTTCTGACTTTAAATCATCTTTGAATAATAACTGGCTTTAAAGCTTCAGGTTCTTCAAGATTTCAACTTGTGGTAGGAACACAACCTCTATTAGCATTTGGGAAAAACAGGCTTTGTGAACCTGCAAGTGTGGGTTGGTTGAGTACCCACTACTACAGGATTCTGAACTCAAAACAGTAGTGGAACTCTGGTCAGCTGCCGAAGCCTAGAAAGGGGCCTGGATTCATTTGAGCAGTTATTTTGAAATAAAGCCTGGGTAATCATGTCTCTCCTCCTCCTAAATCATGTTCAATACACAGATTTTCCTTTGTGGAGCCTTACCTTTGGGCTGCAGGTGCTGCAACACTTGTTCACACTGTGAGTTCTGTCATCATCTTTCCTGAGCAGAGACTAATGGTGTAAAGTGCCACATGTGTTATGATAAAACAAACCAACTCCTTTTTCTCCCCATACACAGGTTAAGAAACAGCACAAAGATACTGTCTGAATCTCAAGTCAACTTGTAATTTGCTTTTGGGGTTGGTTGCTTTGGAGTTATAAGCTGTTGCTGAGAGCAGTGGGTGGCTACTGCATCATGATTGTAATTATTGCTTTGTTTGTGAGGTGATGCGTTCCTGGGAGGGAGCAGCATCAAGAGGGAAACTTAGACTAATTGTATTTGTCCCCTTGAAAGTTAGTTAACAAGCTACTGCTTGCTGATATGACATATGTAGGTACTATGATATACTAGTTGACTTATTAGGAGCTAGGAATTTAACACCGGTATAGAGTAATAAAAGGCTAGAAACTGTTATCTAAGGATGGAAAATAATGTTTAACAAGACACCTGGAGCCCTTTCCTTTTGAGAATTAATTTGTTGGGGGCTAGCCATCTTAGAGCTGGGAATAATTTTTTTTCTAATCTAGTATTTGTAACACTTTATCTCTACCAAGAACTTTATTAGCTTGGACTTGGCTTGATTATAGTTTAACTTCTGAAGGTATTGGATCACTGTTTGCTTGACTTTTTTTGATATATTACTTTTGAAATATTAGTAAATCCTGATGGATATTTCTCTTTGCTTTTGAAGTTAAAAAATATTGAGACATAATCAAAGGTGCTATGGGTGAAGAAAGGCATTGCCAAAACAATTTTGTGATTTATCTTCAAAGTTCTTTCAAATATTTAATAACTGAAATCATAGTTAGTCCAGATTTTGTACATTACCAGTATAATATGATCACTTTTCATATGAACTCATAGTTCTGCCATATCTTCATAATCAATATTTTTACTATATTCTAGGTGTTCTTGTTTTCTGTTCCACAAATGCATACAGTTTATTTGCTTACTTTTATCAGGAGCCTATGTCTGTTTTCCACCATGTTTTTTAAAAACTTTTACAAAATGTTGAATTACTTTATCTCCTTAAAACAAAAGTGCTGAAGTAATGGCAAGTGCATGAAATTATCAGTCAGTACAATTATATTTTTCACTTTATTTTCCAGTTTAGTCAGCTGGTATCCAGTGATTTGAAAGTACTTGGAAGGAGCTCTTACACCCTCTGCAGTGATGGCCAGTTACTCATTCGACAAGTTCTCCACCCGGAAACATCCAAGAAGGTACAAGAGCAGAACTGGTGCAGAGAGGCAGTGCTGGGAGGGGAGTGATACAATCCCACCCTGGGAACTAGAGTGTCCCAATTGAAGATGATCCCCTCCCTGCCTGAGCCCTGAGTAGCTGAGTAGTTATTTTAGGCACTTGCTCTTGAAAGTCAGCCACACTAACTACTTGGACTCCCAGATGGGCATAAGGAAGAGGAAAATTAGGAAAAACAGGATAGAGACAGAAGCAATACAAGAAATTTGAGTTCTGTGTGTGGAGTGGAAACAGAGGTACAGATCAAATCTCTGCAGAAGTGATGGAGAGCTGTTGCTTTGCTTAGGCTTGTGTTAAACCAGCATCCTGTGGAGGGTAAGCACACAGATGGTGATGTGGCCTGGCAGTGGTGCCCCATCTGCATTTATTCAGTGGGAAGCAGAGCTGCAGCTTGTTTCCTACCCCCACATGAAGCAGTAGTTTCTGCTCCAAGTTCCTGGAGAGTTTAGAGCACCCTGTCAAACGCAGGAAGGAGAACGTTGCCTTTGTGCAAGGTGGTGGCTCTTGAGTTTGCTGACTTAGCAGGGTCTGCAGGAACCCCACAAGAATAAGAGCTGCTGAAATGGAAGGACCTGGCCAGTTGTAGGGTTCTTTTCTGGAAGGTGCTGAAAGGGATTTTGTATTCTGTGACAATATTTATTTAAAACTCATCATCACGGTTTGGTACAAATCTGCTTTTCAGTGTTAGCCACAAAAGATAAAATAGTGTCCAAAATGGGAATTGAACAGCAAAACCTAGATATTTTTAATTTTTTTTTCCCAGCCATCCTCTCCAGCTGTTTTTGCATGGGTCTGACTCCCAGAGGCTATTTGACTTTGTTCATATAGAGATCCAGATCTCTAGAGTTACGGAATTTGAAGTGTGTTACAAAGGAACCAAACTGCTCCATCACCAACAAGCTGGTGACGTGGAACTACATGATTTTTGAGAGTGCCTCATTCACTCCAAAAGTATTAATTGAAATTTAAATGGATAGTATGTACAAAACAAACATTTTTGCCTTCCTTGCAGAACTTCTTGTTGTCGGACTGCTTCTATACCTTTTATGATCTGCGCAAAGAGTTCCACACATGCTACCCTAGTTCAGCCGCCGTGAAAGATCAGACTATCAAAACCATGGCAGAATGTATCCTTTTGCTGCAGGTTATATACCACTATCAGTTAAGATTCCTTGAGTTTTACCTCTGTGATTGTAATAGAGTTTAGAAGAATAAAACTAGATGTGGGTTTTAAAACTCACAGATAGTTTTAGGTAAAGTGAAAGGAATGCCTACTTAAGTGTGTGTTGGGAGAGTGGCTCTGCTCATAATTTTTTTTTCCCTAAATTGAATCTAATTGATTTCTAAACCATATTTAGTAAATCTTACAAAGAAAAGCATCACTTGCATTGGTGCTTGATCTTAAAGGAAAAACTGAACTGTCAGTGGGCCTTTTCAGCACCTGCAGGTTTCCAGTGTTTGAAGATAGTAGTTATCTTGCATGATCCTGACTGAGTTCAAAAATAAAGCAAAACCAAAACCCAAACAATACTCTACATCTAAATTCAAATTAGAAGGATTGTTGCGGCCCATCTGAATCAGATTAAAGTTCAGTTAGGTTTTAAGTGATAGGAACTTATTCAGCTTTTTCTTTTTCAGACTGTCAACACTGAAATTATGTAAGCTTTTAATACTTTTCAAACTGTTGTCTGTTAAAGTGAATATAAACCAGTTTATGAGCAGAGTAACATGTGTAATAGCCACATGTCCCCACTAAACCCAGTAAATTTGATTATTAGTTCTATGTTAATATAAGAAAGCCTTATGACTTGTTTACAAAGGATTGTGCAAATCTGTTATTTTCTATAATCACCTGTTCAGATCTAGGCTTAGCGACAGATGAAGCAGAGGAGGACTTTGGCGTGTGGCAAGTGAAGACCATGGTGGCTATAATTTTCAGCATGCTCTCAGAAGGTTGTAGTAAGTTAACTATTTATACTGAAAGCTGAAATCCTTCTTTTCTGAAAGAATTGGCAGTGGTGCTGTTATTCTTAAGTAATCTCTGACCCGGGTTATATTTAAACTTCCTGTTTTGTCACAGATCACGTATTTACTGAGCCTGAAACTGTGAAATACAAGTATGAAACAGGTCCTTGGTAAGTGCCCTTGTCACAGCTGTTTACAAGCAAAGATGAGTCTTGTGTTACAGCAAGGAAAGCTTGTGAATATTTCCTCATGGTCATGTGCAAGCAGGCTGGCTCCTGAGAACAGCACAGTGCACTCAGCAGTCCCCTCCCTTGCAGACAGACTGTGGCTGGCATGCTGAATGCTGTACTTTAGTCCAACTCTTTAAAGTCATTGCAAGTTAAATGCTCTTTGTTCTCTTGCTTCTGTTTTGCATGGCATCGAGGCTGGCTTATCTTACCCAGGGTGAAGAAATATTTGTGAACTTTCCCTAAGTCAACAGGGCTGATGGCCAGTGCACCCTGCATGAGCTGAGCTGTGTGGTGCTTCCCAAAGTGGTTTTCCATGCTGAATTGGGTGTTGGGTTTAGGAAGGAAGAAACAGTTCTTTACAATTGCATTTCAGTGACCAGACTGAAATATTTTAGGCATAAGTAATTTGTGTTGCTTGGATTGCTGCATCTTTCAAATAAAATTAATTCAGTTCCTCATTACTTTACATTGAGGCAGTTTTCTTATTCTTTTATTTAAGGAACTGCAATCTCGTGACAACATTGTGCATCTTCAGTGTTGTAGATATGAAGGAATTATCCAAGTTATCTTCCCTTTCTTTATTTAATTGAATAATGGAGATAGGAGAGTCTCAACAGAAAATATACTCCCAATTTACCATTCAGTTAGTTGCAATCTGAAGTTTGGTAAAATATTGGAAAACCTGGATTAAAGGATTAAAGCTTACTTTGTCTTGTTTTTCTTTCTGTGCAGTAGTAAATCTGAAACTGTGGACAGTGAGACAGTAATACGTGCCAGGGGCTTGCCATGGCAGTCTTCAGACCAGGATATCGCTCGATTTTTCAAAGGACTCAACATTGCCAAGTAAGATAAGGAGAATTTGCCTTGCTTTATCACTTTGTCTCTAATAGCAAGTTCCTTTAATATTTGTTTAACACATATCCCCCACTCTCCCCACTGGAGTCCTTCAATCTTTCCTCATTTGATCCCTTCCCATGCTGTGGCCATGACAGCTAAACAGGTTTACCAGCCTTAGGTGTGCAAGAAAATGTTTTGAAATGTGTGAAGCAGAAAAGAGACTTATCAATTGAAAACAAATACACATTCATTTATTGGTAGTATCTTAAGGGAGAAACTCCTATTCCATTAATCAAAGCAGAGGCCAAGACATGAAAAAGCTTTAGTTTTGTGCCAACTTATTATTCTTCTATACCTTCTAAACAGGCCACATTCAGAAACTTCCAAGTACTGTTTGGAATAAATTTTCATATGACTCATGTGTATACCTGTGCATAGATTTATGTGTATACATATATATGAAGAGAGTGAGTTTATTTAACATACTTGTCACTTAATATACATTCCAGATCTCCAACACTGAAAAAATATAATTTTTTATTTAGAGTGATGAGGAAATTCAAATGTGAATCTCTGAGATGATAGGAAGGACAAATTTACATTTTTATGGGACTTGAGAAAGTGGTGAACATGAGATCCATTATCTCAATGAAGCAGATTTTAAAGCATAATTGCGTGACAACAAAGATTAATTTGTGGATAATAACAATTTATTTTTCAATCTGTAATCTTCATGTTAAAGTCTGGTTCCTTTGCTATTCTTACACAATTATTTATTAAATGTATTAAAGATTCAGACTAAGCTAATATTTGTTGGTTTTACCTTCCAGAGGTGGTGTGGCTCTTTGTCTGAATTCTCAAGGAAGAAGAAATGGGGAGGCTTTGGTTCGGTTTGTCAATTCTGAACAGAGAGACCTTGCCCTGGAAAGGCATAAGCATCACATGGGTAGCAGATACATTGAGGTAAGAAGCTGTGAGTTGAAACAGATCTTTGGAGAGAAACCTGAATATTTTAGACTATGTTCTCATTTAAAACCAAACTGTGCTTCTGTTTTGCTCAAAGAACCAAAATTCTCTCGCTTGTGAAAGAGTGTGTGTGTGTGGTTTAAAGCTGAACATTGTGATTTTCATGTGGGTTTTTTTTGTTCTTTCTTTTCAGGTTTACAAAGCCACTGGGGAAGAATTCTTAAAAATTGCAGGAGGTAAGTGATGTTAGAGTTCAATGTGATTGCTTAAGCATTCATAGGAATGTTGTTCTAGTTCGTTTTTTTTTTTTGTTTCCTTGACTGAGGATGCAAATGGATAATGAAGTAACTTTTCCTGTTTTACCTTCCAAGAATATTTGACCCTGTCAAGTTCTGTTTTCACGTGGTTGAAGCTGAGCTGTGAGCATTTGATCTGTGATGTTCACAGACAGGTCTTGGGAGAAAGAGCAGCCTTTGCAGTGGAAGCATTCATGTATCTTGTATCAATTCACACTCATCTCACCTTTGTTCCAATTTAATTGAAATATTAAACACTTGCAGATTAAGAGGTTTTCACCTCAAAATAGATTGCTGAGAGTTAGTATGGATCTTGGGTTTGTTGCTGGCTACTCATCTCCTGTATTCTTCCTTAACATTTCACTGCTGCTGAATCCTCTGGTATTGAGTGCCCAGCACTGACCATATGTTCTTGGCTGACCATGTGCTGTTATCTCTCTACCAGGCACCTCCAATGAAGTGGCCCAGTTCTTATCTAAGGAGAATCAAGTTATCATCCGGATGAGAGGCCTTCCATTCACTGCTACTCAGGAAGATGTCTTGGGCTTCCTGGGGCCAGAGTGCCCCGTCACCGGAGGGAAAGAGGGACTTCTCTTTGTCAAATACCCAGATGGCAGGCCCACAGGAGATGCATTTGTGTTATTTTCCTGTGAAGAATATGCACAGAATGCACTTAAAAAGCACAAAGAAATACTTGGAAAACGTTACATTGAACTCTTCAGGAGCACAGCAGCAGAGGTCCAACAGGTTGTAGCTATTGGTTGTGAGACTCAAAACTGAACAGTTGAAACATTTCTTCTAACACTTGCCCATATATATGTTGTAGACAAATATGAACATTTATTATATAAAAAATGTCGAGAAAGGCCAATATATGGTTCCTAATTGGCATGGAAAAATGTGCAGCACTGGTTTTGCTTTGTTTGTTGATTTGGGGGGACTGTTTTAGTTTTTTTTTTTAAGCTGCCACTGTTTGAGTGGTTTTTTTAATCATCCCTCGGACCATAAAGTAAAAATCAGTGCATAATTTTTTTCTCCTCACTGAAATCACAAAAATAATTCTAAAAATATAATAGTTGATAGCACTGTAAAAATGCTTCTTGAAAATCCTGTATTGTCTTTAAATGCTAGTCTCCATGTACAGAATTTCTAATATTGAATCCAAATCTGGATGCATGAAATGAGCAACTGCTTTCTTGGAAGCTATGAATTAAGAGGATGTATCTGATTTTTTGGTGAAAGGAAGTATTTTTTTTTTTCCTGAGGTAACATATTTCCTTTTTCCCTATCTTCCACCATTTCCTATCGCTATCTTCTTAAACTGGTAAAACCATTTTATTTTGTCATCAGCAGCTTATCCCTGTGAAAAATACCACACATTATATTTTCATTCCTGACACAGAATATTTCTAGACTGGTGGCTCCTGAGGGAACCACTATTAGATTTGGTCTGGTCTTTGCATAACCACTGGCTATAAAAATGTAATACATTGCATTGTATTACTCTGAAACCTATGTGACAGGTGAAATCTTTCTGTAGAAGGGATTGGGCAAGGGAAAGAATATGCACACTTGTAGACCCATTGCTACTACTGTGATATGGATATTCCCACAGCCAAGAATCTATGTGCTGTGAAGACTGGAAATGGCATTTCCCCTTCCCCTACAACTTCCCACCTGAGAGAGAATGAAGCAAAATCCTCTAAGGAGCAAGATCACTCTGACTCAGTGACCAAGTCTCTGCTTCCACTCTTTTTAGGTAGACCTGGATATAACTTATATTCTACCAATATGTCATTACTTCTTCCTCTGTGACAGCTGTCTAGGCCAACACCTAAACTTTTTTGCTGTTTGGGCAAGAGATTATTTCTTAGGAAATTACAGGCTGCTTTTTTGGGTAATTACAAGTAAAGTCAGCTCTCCTCTACTTAGTGTTAGTACAAAGTAATTGCAATGTTCTCTACACAACTAAGAGAGATTTCTGGCCTGAAATGCATTACAAGAAGATTCTTGAAACAAACTCCCTAAGCTGAATCACTTTTAACCTACCTGAATAACTTTTAACTAAAACTAAAGCTTTGCGACCTATTTTTTTGGTACTTCTTTCATGTGTTTATTTGTGATAATCATCACTAAAAATGTTTTTCAGCAGTAAGCACCAACATGTGTCATATGTTCCCTTTGTCATTTGGAAATGAGTCAAGAGAAGATGTTGAGATCAAAGTCTCTTATATTCTTATCCTTAATTTTTTTTTTCCTCAAAAACTCTGTACTTGGAGATGAGCACTTGGGTTAAACAAATAAGCACCCTCACTTAACCAATCAGGTTTTAGAATAAATTATAATTAGTGCTTTTACTTACTAGCTATTTCAAGCCTCAGTTCTTTTAAAATTACTGTTTTTAATTTACCCTGATTTAGCTAAGTATGCGACAATACTGGTTTATTAGCACAGATGTGATTTCAGATTTTCCTTTTTGAGATACTAAAAACAGTAATTGGCTTTTAACTTTTTAAAGAAAAGTCTGTTTTTGAGAAAAGTCTGTTATTGAGGTCTAGCAAATTGAATTTGTTAGCCTTCCCCTCTCCTTTTCTGCATTTGAAACTTTCAAATGCCTAACATGAAACTAACTGCAACAATTTGGTGTAAGAAGGGATTTTTTCACTGACGTTGGGAATAGTATTGTGAGAACTGCTCTGTCTTAGACAAATGATTGTAAATCTGCATTGCTGTGGATTTTTTGCCAACAGGTACTTAATCGATACATGTCAACACCTCTTATTCCAACTCTTCCAACTCCCATCATTCCAGTCATACCCCCACCATACACCATTGCCACGGGCAGCATTCGTGACTGTGTCCGGCTCAGAGGTCTTCCTTACACTGCTGGCATTGATGACATCTTGGAATTTATGGGAGATGCCACAGGGGATATCAAACCCCATGGAGTTCACATGGTCCTTAATCAGCAGGTAACAGCATTTTGCATGGGAGTAGTAACTTTGCAGTGATTGAACCGGTAAGAAGTCAGGGCAGCTTACCTGATCTTGGCTTTAGTCTTCTCCAACCTTGGGAAAATACAATGTTCTCTCTGTCTGTCTTTGCCTCATTTCTCTTCTCCTTTTATATACAGTCTTGTTTTTCTCTCCCTGTATGTATATATGCATCAGCCTGGGGAAGATGAAGCTTGTTCTATGAATGATAACCTTATCCTAGAGGCTGTTTTCAGCCAGAGGCTGGAGATACACAATAGAAACGTTTCCTTTAGGTGGAGTATCTGCTCTGTCAGCTTCAGGGTTCCTGCAGTGTTGTTTGAGTGGTCTTTGGGTAAAAATGAGGTTTTTCTAACTTGATTAGCTGTTGCTCAGGCTTTAAAGAAAGCTGATAATTAAAAATTGTGGTTTGGGTATATTTTAATTATGTGATCATAGAGATATATTTTCCCTGTTGTCTTGTGTTAAAAATAAGTTTTTAATGACAGAAATACTGAGGTATTAAAGAAAACAAATGAGAGATCTACTGTATTTGTTTAGGGTTTTTTTTGTGTGTATATTTTTTTGGTTAAGGAAGTTTTTGTATTTTGTACAGACATGTATATCTGTCAGACTGCAGAAAATCAGACCTGGAAATCATCTCTGACATAGCTATGGACTTACTAAAGTATCTGAAACTTTATGCTGTTGTACTATTACCTCCAAAGTAGATGTAGGGAAGGCAAAGCCAGGCTCTTCCTAGAGCTTCACAGCAAAAGAATGAGGGACAGTGTGAATAAACTACATTAAAAAAAAAAATCCCAGTTGGGTGAAAAGCAAAAAAATTAAAATCATGATGAGAAATTAGCTAAGCACCTGAACAAGCTCCCAGAGGTGATACAGAATCTCCACCCCTGTAGATGCTCAGATTTCAAGTGGAGAAGGCCATGAGTGGCCTGATGTAAATTGAAAGTTAGTCCTGCTTTGAACAGCTTTTGGATGAGACCTCCACATTTTTTTCCATGCTACATGATTCTGTTTCTTTCTGCAACGGACTGAAGTAGCATTGTGTTAACTGGGCACTTGTTGCATGAGTCTTGATTTTTCTGCTCCTAAATAAAATTGTTGAGTTGTGAGTCATTCGTGCCAAAGAAGGAATAATGATACAGGCTTTCAGTAGATGTTTGATCTTAGTACTTTCTGCATTTCTTGTGATCTGGGTGATTTAATAACAGATTGACCTACAATTATTTACCTGCCTCCCCTAGGGACGACCGTCAGGTGATGCTTTTATCCAAATGAAATCTGCTGACAAAGCCTTTATGGTGGCTCAAAAATGTCACAAAAAAATGATGAAGGACCGTTATGTGGAAGTATTCCAGTGTTCTGGAGAGGAGATGAACTTTGTTTTAATGGGTGGCACATTAAATCGTAGTGGCTTATCCCCACCGCCATGTAAGTTACCATGTAAGTCTCCAATTCTTCTGCTCTCTGCTGCTAAAGGCTGATATGTGGTAGGTGCTGAAGCTTTGTGGCCTTTCACCTTTTGACTTGGGTTTTGCCATGATCAATAATCATCCATCTGTGTACATACTAAGATTGGAATTGTTCCCTTTGGGCAATAATGGGACTGATCAGAGGCATTTTTATCATATTTTCGGTGGTGAGTAGAGGGCAGCAAGGTCTTGCCAGTGAAATTGTTGCACACTTTGCTTTTTGTGGGTGTACTGTTCTTCTGAGCTCTGCAGTAGACTTGCCTGTAGTGAAATCTACTTGGAATGAGAGGGATTTTTAAAATGGGGAGAAGTTCTATATTCCAGCTGCCAATGAGTGCTCTTGCTATCTTGCCTCAGAGCCTTGAGAAGGTACTCTTTGGGCTTCTTTTTGAAGGAAAACACCCACTGGGATGATATACTAACCAACCATAGAGTGCTGAAGATAAATGGATTTTAATTTTTTTTATTTTAAGATTACAGTGAACCTTACTGAGGAACGATAATGCAATTTTACTGTACTGTTCTAATTAGTCTCACTACCAGATCACAAAGCAGATACTCATGTGTATTTGCAAAATAGTAAAAAGCTGCCAAATATAGTATATAAAGCCAATTTGACTGCACACCAAGCCAAGTTTGTTGTTTCTGTACAAATCAGGCATTTATTCATCAAAATGAATCAGACTAGTGGTCTAGTGGGGTATTCTCCCTTCCATTTGCTATATCCTAAAAATACTTTTTGAAATTGCAGGAAGCTTATATGTGAAGTCTCATGGTCAGCAGCTATGGATGCCCATGTGTAGCTACTATTATGGTGCTTTTGTCCCACAGAGTACAACTTCTGTTAGAAAACACAAGGGTGTGTTGGTGTGCACGCCTGCTTTCTCTATGCACATGGCTTTATGCTTTCTTTTAACAACTCTGAAGTTCCCTACTTTCCATTTACATATAGACAAGGCTGCTCAGCTCTAGGAGTTGTGAACTTCTAGGAATTGCTCATTCCAAGTGCCCTGGTTGTTTTTCATGGCGATGTAGCAAAGGTCTCCAGGGGAGAGGCTAGAGAACAGTCTTTGCTCAAGTGTTCATCAATCATGCCCAGATGGTTTTAATCACACTGAGGAGAGGAATTACTCATCTGAGAGTTCTCCATTCTGATTGCTTTTTGTTGCTGTGTCCCACTTTGTTTTTAGGTCTTTCTCCACCAGCTTATGCTGCTTTCCAAACAGCAGCTGTGATCCCAGCAGAGGCAGCAGCCCTTTACCAGCCACAAGCCCTCTTGCCAACCACCAGGACACCCCAGGCCTCTGCAGCTGCTCCTCCAGCTGTTACCTACTACCCAGCCCAGGCTGCTCAGCTTTACATGAACTACACGGCTTACTATCCCAGGTAACCCTGAGATTTCACTGCTTCTCTTGACCTTTCATCCCAGTGCAGCAGGCAGCTCTGTGGACACCTATGAACTGCTCTTAAATTTGTACTTCTAGTGTAGGTAATCCCAGGAATTTAGTGTTCAGCAACAGACGCAGAAACCATTTTAACTGTTTCTCTGTAACCTTGTGAGGGGGCTCCTCTCTACCCTCACCTCTCAGTTTGTTATTTACAATACTGTTTTTGTGGGGAAAGGCTCATCATGGGTGTGTACTAGGTTTGATTTTGTCTGTCAGTGAGACCAAAGAACATTTTTACATGTGAAAGCAAAATAGATCTCCACCTTTTCCCTTCCCACAGATGGTATGGCATGAGCCACTGAAGTCTGGTACAGGGGTTGTGGGGAAATAGCTTGTTCACTGATAGCTCCTAGGCTTGTGACACTTGCTAGCTTGAGTATCTGGTAATTTGCTAGACAGGCCCTGACTGGAGATGGAGATGGTAATTACTCTTTATTTTGTGGCTCAGAAATGCCAGATTTGGGCATTTTCCTCATTTTCATACTATGACACACCCCTCCCCTTTATTTATTCGTGTTTTTATTAATGATCTTAAAACAAGTCATCTGCAGCTACTTTTTTCTACTCCCCTGTGAAATAACAAATGCCACTCTTTGTGTTTAACTACAAATGTTAGCTATTTTCCCTTCTCTAAAAATATGAGATGCTAAAGAGAAATTAAGTCCACAAAACAGTCCACATCAGGGCTGTTTGTTTTTCTGTATTTTGATTATTTTCAAATCTAAATTTTCAGTTTCTTCTTTGCCTGTTCTGAGTAGTAGAACCAGTTATTGGTTTTTGTAACAATTGTGCTCCCTTTCTCTTTCAGTCCTCCAGTATCCCCTACCACAGTGGGGTACATTGCAGCTCCTCCAGGAGCTGTGGCAGCTGCTGCTTCTGCCACCCACACTCCGATCCTGCCCCAGCCTGGAGCCTTAGTCCGGATGCAGGGCTTGCCATATAACACAGGAATGAAGGAGATACTCAGTTTCTTCCAGGGGTACCAGGTTAGTATGCAGCCCTCTCCTTGAGCTCATGTTTGGACCTCTGAGTATTGATCAGTGGAGGTCAAACTGAGCAAGTGAGTGCTTTTGGAAGCTGCCAAGTTTGGAAGTGTGCAAGCTGCATGTTGCATATTTAACTGGCAGGCTGAAGTGTAAAACACCATTTGCCTTATTTCTTATTAAAAAACCAAATCCTTATTTGGAAACAGTGGTTTGGTGTCTGGGTTTGGGGTTTGAGTTTGAAGACCTCAGAGCCCCAGTGTGAGTAGGGCTGCAAAGAGGCTGCCACAGGAAAGTAGGGGCTGACAGAAGTTTTCAGTCCTGCCCACTTGGTGGTGGGAGCCTTTTGGTAAGGTCAGCATTTGACCTTAAGCACTTAAGTTTGCAGATTTCTAATACAGAGATCAGTGAATTGGGTGTGGTGACTTGCAAAAGGAGAGACACAGTAGAGACACAGATGTCCTGGTCAAACACTGTTCCAAGTTCTAATTATTTTGGTTACAAGCAGGAATATCTTTCATTAAAGCTGTATTACATTGCAAACTAAAGGAAATCTGTTATCTGCACTGTCTATATTGACAGCAAATATACTATAGGTAACATCAGCCTGTATGGACTGATGGAATGCTCTCAGGTGAGCAAACAGAAACTTATCTTCTTGATAAGTTAAAAAAAAAACCACAAAAAACCCCAGCTACAAACACATGTTCTGGTGAGTATTTACCTCCTGTGGGTAACAGCACTTACACAGCTACCAACTCTGCCCTTTTGGGTACTGCTTGGAAGCTCTGACCTAAAATCCTCTTTGTGGTCTCAAACCACTTCAAGTGAACAAGTGATTTGTATTAAAAGACAATGATTTCTGTGTGTTTGTCCTTCAGCTTTCTGGGATAACAGTGATATTGCTAGAGTTAATAGGAAACATTCAGGCATGGTATGTTTTCTTTCTTTCTTTCTTTCTTTCTTTTTAACCTTAAGATTCTTAGAAGACAATGAGCTTTAATTTGTTGAGCCACATGTCTGGTATGCAAATTAATGTAGACTGAGAACAGATGGTCAAATAAGTACTTTCCAAGTTTCGAGTATTTGGAAGATGCAGTGCTCTACCTGTTGTGTCACATTACATTTGTGTTTTGAAAGGAGTTTTGCATACTCTGTTTTTCAGTGGAAAAAGATTGTCACATTAAAAGTGTGGTGAATTTTGACAAACAGTAAAAAGAAACTGAGTATTGTTGTATTTTAGGGCTTTTTCTTCTACAGATATTTCCAAAGTTCAAACCAAGTTCGGTTATTTGTGGCTTTCATGATGCCCAGACAAGTAATAATCATTCATCCTATTGTTTAGCCATCAATATTTTGCCTTTTAGTTGTTTCCTACTGGCTGGGGGTTTTGGTGGATAGATGGTGGATGTATTAAAAGTCTAAGTGTGGAAGCTTATTTGCCACATTGAAATTCAGCTGGAAGTGTAACTGCACTTTTGAAAAATGTGGCCTGAACCTGTCCATGCATGGAACAGGTCAGTGATGACCTCTAGTATCTCTACCTTTCACTATATCTTCAGTTTAGTGAATCTGGACTTTGTGTCTCATGCTCAGTTTGTCCTTCTCCTCGTTTCTGCATTTGGAGAGCAGTTCCTGGTGTTTATATTGCACAATTAAATGGTTAGATGGACAGAAATTTTGCTATAAGGTGAAACTATTCTGCTGCTGCAACCTCCCATGATCATCAGTTACTGTTGTTAAATTGGTCACCTCTTTGATTTCTTTAGAAGATGTTGTCCAAATGAGTTCAGTTTAAAATCTTATAAAGGAACCAGGAATTATTATGAATTGTTCTTAGAATTCTGCATGTATTAATGCTAGTTTTATACTCATTCATCATTCAGGGGAAAAAGAGATGGTGACTTACTGTAATGGGACAATATTACATCTCTGGAGCAATAACTAACCTTTTTTTCTTTTTTCCTTCCCTTTCTTCACATTGTTTTCTCATTTCTGCTGCTGCCCAAGGATTTATTGCACGATGCTTCTGCTCGTTCATAAAGTGAGCCCTTAATAATCATCACTGGTTTGGGCATGGTTTTAATCTCTGTACCACTAATTGATGTTGGTATTCAATGGACTTCAGTGTTGGTATTCTGGGAACCAGATTGGATATACTGAAATTGAAGGGTGATTTTTGTCTTTGTGTGTCCTTGTCTGAAAGGAGCAGGGTTTACATTTTAGTTCTTGCTTTATTCTCTTCTGGATTTTTCCTTCAGACTTCATGGGTTCTGTATATTGCATGTGTGCATATGTTGCTACTTAAGTGAAAGCACTTTTCATACCAGACCTGCCTCTTAAGAGATAGACTTTGCCTATCATGGGCTCCAACAAGCTGGTCTCAACATCAGTACATGCTTCTAAAAACAAATAATTTAAAAGTCTGCAGATCAGCATTTTAATTTTCATTGAATTTTATTAGCATTAGCCTCTTGTTTAGCATTTCAGCAGCTCCATTTCTTCTTGCAATTCTGTTTTCTTGCTTTTATTAGTGAAAATTCCTTCCAGCCTGCATGTATTTATTGTAACTTGGATTAAGCAGTTGAAAACCTCAGGAAGAATTTTAATAGTAAATCAGGGAGATGGAAATTTTCCCCATCACCTTTCTATATAATATTGTAGTGTACTGTAATCCTCAAAAGAGCTGGTATTAGTATTTTCTGATTCAGTAATTTACATTAAACTGCCTTTTAGTTGTACTGTAAAGCAATAGGGCCATTGATTTGAGTCCAATTATATGCTGGATACATATCTAAAGGATAGCTGAAAAAATACAGAACCTAAGCCAATTAAAACCATGTTGAAAAAACAACAAACCCCAAAATAACCAAAACAACAACAAAACCCTCACCATGCCATTCTCCAACATGATTTTGTATTGTGGGGTAAAGCTTGAGGAAGAAGTGGTGCAGATATAGTAATACCACACAGCAAAACTCCTCAGTGTTACTTTAGGCCATCACCCTGTACAGCTGTAGAAGCAGTGAGAGAACTCTAGTAAATAATGAATGAACAAGGGCAATAGTTGTGATGGATTTATGTGAAGTTGGTGCATAGCAGAACAAAATTTTTCACTAAAGAATTTTTATTTTTCTTATTTAGTGGCTAAATACTTAATGGGTTTTATTACTTAGCCACTAAATGAATCAGTGCAAAACTGTTTAGTCTCCAAATACTCTTGGGGTTGGGGTTTTCTTTCAGTTTTCTTTTGTTGTTGTTTTTTGGTTTGGGTTGCTTGTGTGTGGGGGTTTTGTTGGTGTGTGTTTTTTTTTAAAAATAATTTATGAGTATGCAAATAGTGATAGGGTTGGTATCATGACAAGAGCCTTCAGGTAAATATAAAGGCAGATGCAGTTTAGCTGTGCCTGTGGTCTTAGCTGACCAAAAACTAGTTTACAGCTGTTGTCTTGGCTAGGATTCAGCCTCCTCTCAGTAATACTTGGCCAGTTTCTTGGAGGTTGGCATGAATTTGAAGTGAACCCATGCCTGCCTGAAAAAGACCCTGTGGATTAGTTCTTAGAAAGCAGACTTCCTGTTTAGGTACATTGTGTGTAAGTACAGTAATAAAAAAAAATTAAACCACCAAGCTAGAAGATGACTAAGATTTAGGGGCCATGGTCACCATCTGAATTTTTTTTAAAGCCCCCTGAATTTGCTGAAAAAGGCTGGGATGGAAATGCAAGGACTTCTTTGTGTACATGTTTCTACATAAGAAAAGCTTAAAATAAATAGTTCTTTAAACCTGTACTGGGCTTAAGTGTCTTTTGTCTGTAGCTACAAACAACTTTAGCAGTATATTAATCTTCCAAGGCTTCAGAGACCCAGAATTTAAGACTTGCTGGTGGAGGGGAGGAGGGTGACTTGTGGTTAAAACAGTAATAAGGAAGTGAAGTGGATGGATGGCTAAATTCCAAGGGCATTAATGACATTTCTCTGTTGTATCAGGACAACAGACTTCATTGTTACTGACTTTTTAGGGATTAGGAGTTTTTTTCTCTGAAATGTGTGCTTAAACAAAGAAGTATTCTCTATTTCCTTTGGGTTCTTTTGAAATCTGATTCTCTGTAGTCTGAGAGGGGGATACCCCATCATCTGTGTGCCATCCTAGGCACCCTCTGGGGAAGGGAAAGGGGAAGTGGTAGCGGAAGAATTCCCACTTACTGGGATTGGAAGTCATCTGGCAATACAGACACTATTCCATGCTCACCCCCACACTCTCAGAACAGAGCACACTGTTTGTTTTGCTTTATTCCTAAATTTATCTCCCTCCTTTGTGGAGAAAGCATCAGTGAGACAGGGATGAGTAAATTAGTGGTTACAGTTTCTGTCTGTTGCCTCCCACACTTGAAGGAAGAGACTGAAGTGACACCCTCTGTATTTTTGGAACAGGCATTACCTGTTTCAGCCTCTGTTGCACAGAATGTTCAAGTGATACATCTTCCACAGAGTATTTAGGTATTTGTGGGTGTTAGTATTGGCAGTCTGATGGTACAATTGATGTACTTCTAGGGGCAAAGCCAGTTTAGGGTATTTCTCCTGACTCTTATGCTAAAGGTTGCTGTTGCCTACCTTCAGATCTGATTCTATATTCCAGGCTTAGTCTAGCTAGGATTTTTTCCAGAGTCTGAGAGTTCCCTTTGGGAACTGCTCTGTGATGAAATTTATGGGTAGGTAGGACAAGAATTGCAGCTGCCTTCCTGAAGTGGCCATTTTGCCTGTGATGTTTTCCTTTTCTATTATTTGCTCCTACTTTTTCCCAGTTGGAGTGCTTCTAAATATACTTTCCCCTTTCAGTGGTGGGTTTGGTTTTTTTTTAGCAGTGGGTTATTTTCTCTAGATTGCTTTGTATGTGCTGTTTTTAGACTGAGCTTTGAATATTCACTGTAGGAACTGCAAAATGAAATGGAAATCAATGACTTACTGGTTACTGACCTGGTTAAAGCTGTGCACAGTCTGTGAGGGGAAGACAGTCCCATATTTCTCTCAGCAAGAGAAGAACAGAGAAATAAAATAAGTTGAAGAAAAAGAAAATTCAAGGAGAAAGTATAGTGTATTATGTCTTTATTAATTAGTTTACCCTTGGTTCAGTCCTGTGTGGTTGGATGTTCCTGTTTGGTTCTTATGGGTTCTGAAATGCAGACAGAATAAGAAAGATTCACAGTCATGTGCTTACTCAGGCAACAGGGTACTTTTCATTTTATTCAAAGAATTTACTGTTCTACAGCTGCTGTTTTAATTTACTGCAGTCTCTTACCTACCCTTGTGATTAGAAGCTACTTCTATTTCTAGGTCTTTTGATGAATTTGTTTTTCTTCTTTCTTTCTCGCTTTCTTTAGGTCTTTCCCTAAACTCTGATAACTTTGACATTTCTGTACAGGATATTTTCCCAACTTTCCTATTTTCCAGATTGTTTATGCTATTTCAGGTGTAACTTATGAAATTCTGTCCCTTATAAGAGTAAGACTGTAGAACTTTACCTACTGTACATCTACTGATAATCTAAAGTATGTACTATCTTGAGACATTCCTTCCAAAGAGTAAACTTACATTTTGTAGATTTGTTTCAAGGGCAGGTCTGGGAACTGATAAATCTAATATTTGCACGGTCTGGTTGCCCTGGCAGAGACTATCTAGAAAATACTTCTTATGTTTGTCTTCTACTTAATGGCATGGGTTTAGACGTGAAGGTGGCTAGAATTCAGTAGTAAAATTCTGAGGGGTTCTTTTATGTTCTCTGGGCTCCTGGTTATTGTTTTCTGTGAAAGGTGTATACTGTGATGGTTGGTGTTTTTCTTTTCACCTTCCCTTTGGAATGATATGTGTCCTGTATGCCCAAATATAATACCCTTTCTCCCTAAGCTGGCAGGAGACCTTTTGTATTGTAGAAACATCAAAGGAAAGGCAGCATAGTGCATCTACATTGTGTGCATTTGGCAATCATCTGAAGTGTTAGTGCAAAACCATTAGCATTAGTCCACCTGGGGGGAGACAGGAAACTCTTCTTGCCACTGAAAAGACATTGTACAGCTCAGGTCACACTAAACACTCTTGTCTTCTGGATTATAGGAGCCACTCAAGTAGTCTTTGCAGCATGTGTAAGAATGCTCAGTCCCTTTCCAGGATACATGATTTGGAAAGACTATGTACTAAGAACAAAATTTCATATTCTCCATTTTCTGTATTTTCTGACTATATATGTCGTATTTGTACCAGGCCAATAGTATGAGTGATTACTGTTCAGATTCAGGATCTCAAATAATTCTTAGATCTGACTCATATATGAGGTTTTTGTTCTAATTTGTTGGTGTGACTGTTCTGTACAGTCACTATTTTTATTTTAATATTTAACTTCTACAAATCTATCATGTTGCAGTTACACTGTGTAAGTTTATTTCATTTTCCAGTGTAGAAATACACTACACTAGCATAAATGCTATTTTACCTTATGCATGCATTCATACTGGGGCACTGATTTTCTCTCATTACATTGGTGCAGTCTATGGAGTCCAAGCATTACATGCAGCTCAAGTTTATCACCCTACCCTAGAGAAGCTGCACTTTATTTCCATGAGCGCATAAAAGATCTGAATGAGATCCATACAATTATTCTGATCCTCCCACTTCAGTGTGCAGGCTGGAAGATGCTCATCTGTCCCAGAGAGAGCCATTACTGGGTTCATGATTGTTATGAAAATGTAAGAGTTTGGTTACCTGGTGCTGCCATCTCATGTGTAGAAGGAAAAAAGAAGCACTTCATGGTCTATTTCCCATCCTTGATAAGGAGTAGTTCAAATACACAGTTTGGAATATTCCCCATAAGCATTTATTTTATTTCTACATCCAGCAATACAATTAATATAATTTTTATCTTACATAAAAGTAGTTTCTGTCCAACCAGTGTCTCCTGCCAGTTGTTACAGCTGATGCTCTTAATTGTGGTTGCAAATGATGGTCTGTGTGGCTTGCTGTGCCAGACTGTTCCTTCTCTTGCTGATTGTCCCATGTCACACTTGTACTGTAGTATGCACCTGATGACTACAATGGCCTAATTCAGCTGAGCGATCAAGCCAGGAGTGTGTTACAAGCACCGAAAGAGTGGGTCTGTTTGTAACTCTTTGTAACTTCTGAAGAAGGTAAGATGTGACTGGCAGAGCCTGGGTCTCCAGAGGTGAATGGGAAGGGAAAGAGGGGCTTGGTGCTACAGAGATTTTTGCTTGTGGCTTTTCCCCATTAGTAGCTTGCATTGGGATCCTGGTGTTAGTCTTTCTGCTTCAAAAATCAACTAACCTAAAGAAATGTGCTGACTGTGATCTGTAGCTGATGGGGCAGCAGTGGTGGAGGTAGTGTGATTGCCTGGTTCTGCTCAGATGACGTGTTCAACTTCCAGAAGGCTTTGTTAATACTCGTATCTCATGTGAACCTTTCAATCTAATATTTTCCTTTTAGAAGAGTGGTAGAAGATGATTTTTCCCACTGATATTGCTAGAAAGCACACACAAATGAGTGTGCAAAAACCCCCAGACCTCTAGCTGTGTCTTTTCTGTACCATATAACTGGCTAGAGATTAGTACCTCTCTTTCTTGATTTCCCTAATGGAATGTGAACTATTACATTAGTTTTTTCAGAAGAGGTTTTTTGGGTATAGCAACTTTCTAAAGCAACTAATTAGATTTGCTAGCAGTAAACTTGCCTGCATTTTTGCAACTTACAGGTAATTCTTAAAGAAATTTTGTTATGGCCTATGTGGAGTAAATGATGCCACAGTACTACTGTACTCCATTCAAAATGCTACTGATTAGTACATTTTCTTTTTCCTTAAGAAAAAAGCCGAATAACCTTTCAGTTTAAAAATGGCAATCACATATTGTGCCTTGAGAGAATGACTTTGATAGACAAATGTACTTTCAGTAACAACTGTCAACTCAGTTGTTTATAAATTAGTTATTTTCTGGTGTTGGATTTGTAGAGAGCAGATAAACTGCATGGTCTGGTGATTAACTGAAAAACCAGATCAGCAATTGGTTTCTACTAAGTATGATATAGAAATCATTGACTGATTCATGAAGTAGCTCAGTCTAAATTCTAAGTGGTACAAAGTAGTATTATACAGGTACTACTCTTATAGAGTAAAAAAAAGTCCAGGAAAAAGGTTCGTGTGAATCTGAATCTAATTTTAAAACACACATGTGCATACATAAAATCTATTTGTCTAGAAATATCTATAAATAAGAATTTAAACCCAGTATGTCTTAAAATTAAGCTGAAGGGGCTCATTTAGCTCTTTTTATTATGTTGCTTGCTGAATGTATAGACTTCTCTGCTAACTTTCTGTGCAACTCTTATAACATGAATTTCCAGATCCCTACATTGGTATTACACCAATACTGTTATTTAAACTTGTTTTAAAGCTCTTCTCTGTGTTCAGAGGTCTAACTGTGTTCCGTGTGTGTTTTCAGCTGACTCTGAGCTACAATATTAAAGTTCTATTCTGGACTGATGGTAAATGAGTTGATCCCATATGGATTAACAGCAGAGACTTGGTTTCGAGAAGAGCATCTTTTAGCTCAGATTTGCAGCTCAACCCAAGTTGTGCACAGCTTTCTCTGTGAGAAAAGGTTACTCTGAAATAAACCAAGATTGGTTCAAAAGTAGAAGCTCTAGTCTTTAGACATGATGT